GATTCGTGAACAGAAGCAATAAAATCAAAATTAAGGTATCATTTTTACCGTCTCTAACACCGTAATCAAGCTTATAAAAAAATAAACATCTCTAATGATGTGTAGAAATTCTTCTCTCTAAACATGCAAAGAGGTCACATAAGATAAGTTTCTTTTTTTCACATAAAAATTAATTACATTATAGTCCGTCATATAAAAGGCTCCTATACTAGAAATACATATATTTTAATAAAATATTAGCAACCATGTCAGTGAAATAAATAAAAAATGAGTGCAGTTAAATAAAATTAATAACAACAGCAATAAAAAAATTCAATTCAAGTCCAACATCTTCATAACAATATTTCATTATTGTATAATCACAATAAAATTGATTTTGTTTGTCCGGCAATGCACGCAATACTTCCATACAATCTTTGATGGCTCTAACCAATGCATATACAAGAAAAACAATAAATAAAGAAGTGTGAATTTTAACAGTTCTTCTTTTAGTTATTAGATAAAACAGCTCATTCCCATTCTGCAAGCAATTTTATTTGTTATTGTTTTATCATTTCCCAAATTGCAAGCAAGAACTTTTTTTTAGAAGTTGTCCAGTTCCCAATTTATCAAGCAAAAAAGTTATCAAAAATTTTCCCATTTTGCAAGCGAACTATTTAACAAAAAAGAAAGAGTTTATGCTATAAATTTAAACGTTGTCTAATGAATTAATCATAATTATTAGAATACTTAAAGTTACTGTTTCTAATCGCAAAATAAAATCTGTTTTTTGGATCAAATGGTTTATAGTCTAATCTAAGTTGATTATGAAATAATATAAAGGAGAGATGAATTTCTACACATCATTAGAGATGTTTATTTTTTTATAAGCTTGATTACGGTGTTAGAGACGGTAAAAATGATACCTTAATTTTGATTTTATTGCTTCTGTTCACGAATCAGAAAATAAAAGTTATTTCTTTAGATACATTATATTTCATATCTGAAACACATTGTTTGGAACATAAAACAACAATAATTTTAGTCATTTACCACCAAAAGAATTCATAGTTGATAAAGTTGCAAATAAATATGATATTGAAATTGTTAGAATACCGGTGAAGCATTGTGTCTTAAATCCAATTGAGCTTGCTTGGGCAGGTTTAAAGAATTATGTACGACAACAGAATGTTCGTTTTAGCTTGAATGATACTGCCCAACTATGTGACGAGTGATTGGCAGCATGTCGTTCTGAACATGCTTCTAGTTATTTCGAACATGTTTAAAAACATGAAGAAACTTTTAAAATTGGAGACAAGAACATCGAAGAATTTGAAAACGATCTGATCGATAGCGACGATATGATATCGACAATGATTCATTAAATGGTGATGATTTTGCTGATGACTGAAATGCTTCTTCTACGTAGAAAATGATTTTCTTTCATATCTTTTTATCATATTCAAGCAACAAGAATGTATAAATGATCATAAGAGCATTTTTTCATATGAAAACACCATATATGAATAATGCTCATGTATGATTAATAAAACGAAACTATTCTAAAATGAAAATAAACATTGCCACGATGTTCAGCATAGTCGATAACCTATGTTTGCATGTGTTTATATTGGGTTGGCAACAAAGCTTTTGTGTTTTTTTAAAAAAATTTCGTTTTATTTTTTAACTACAAAAATACAATGAAGTTTCAATAATGTATGCTCCATTACTATCTATGACTCGTCGCCAACGCTCTGGAAGAGAAAGGATCCCAGGTACGTAGAACTCCTAGGACTTTTGGCTGAAGAAGTTACCGAGATCTATTTTGAGGTCGTGTTCGCCATCGAATTTTTTCTCGCTTAAATGATCGGCAAGAGAACAGAACAAATGGTAGTCAGTAGGAGCCAAGTCTGGAGAATACGGTGGATGTGGAACCACAGTCCATCCGAGCTCCAATACTCTTTCACGCGTTGACTTTGCAATGTGAGATCTGGCGTTGTCATGTAAAAAATAAAACCTTATCCTGCTTTCCCTGGAGTTTTGCTGCAACTCGGTCCAATTGCTGACAGTAGAGATCAGCAGTAATAGTGCTACCAGTTGGAAGAAGCGCCTAATGAATTCCGCCTCTTACGCCCCATCAAGCGTTCAAATAACCATCCTTGGGTGAAGTTCATTTTTTGGCGTTGCTATACCACTTTGTCCACTTCCCAGCCATTGTCGCTTGCGCGTGTGGTTGACATACATCACCCACTTTTCATCGCTGATAATAAGATTGCGGAGCCATTCGTAGTTGCGGTGAGAAGTCAGTGGTTCCATACATGCGTCGACTCTGTTGAAGCTGAAGTAGTGACAACTCGTGGGGTATTCAAACTTCATATTTCCACGTCTTACCTAATTCGCTCAGATGTTTTTCTACCGCACTATGAGAGCATCCAAGCCGCTGTGCTGGACAGCATGTAGTTAATCTCGGTTCTTCTTCAATGAGTTGCTTTAAGACGTCCATATCCACCTCCAATGGCCTTCCGAAACGAGGTAAACCATCAAGTTCGAAGTTCCTGTTCTTATATCGGTTGAACCAATGTTGCGCTGTACGAATGGAGACTACATCCTTGCTCATCGTGCTGCATATGTTGCTTGCTGCTTCTATGCGGCCCAAACAGAATTTATGAAGTAAAAGCACTCGAAGCTACCTACGAGAAATCTCCATTTCTAATCCGAAACCAGCTTCTTTACTCATAGTTTTGTTGTTGTTTGCAAGAGATTCGTGCCCCCTTTATGTACCCTAAGTAGGAAAGTTTCCAGAACTTTCGCGAATTTTTTAGAGAATTAAAAAAAAAAGCGCAAAAACTTTGTTGCCAATCCAATAATAGTCCCGCACCTACAGCAAAGGGAGTCTTAGGGCTTCCAGAAAACTGTGTGGTCCTCCGAAACCCTGCAAGATAAAACTTTCGTTTATACCTAGTTTTGTAGGAAGCACTTTGAACTATCTACCCACTTAAAAAAACCAATATACTTCTGTGACAGCTTTCAGAAAACCAGCACGGTTTTTTAGAGATCCTCTTATAAACCAATCTTCGGAATTTCTTTCAAAAATAGTTTTGCTTACAAAAATATGGTTCTGAATCTTGGCTATCAAACGCTGAAAATCGCAATTCTCTATCTTATTCCTATCAAAAGTTATTCAAAAAACATCCACCTGCCTTGACTTCTGGCTAGGTATGCACCGGTGTCGGTTGAAAAAAACGATGTTCGGTTTAAACCGACACCGGAAAACTCTCAAACATTTCTATTTAAGGTTTTTGAATGATATAAAGAGTGAAACATAACATCTACTCACTATTGTCAAAGAAACATCTGATTTTAGCCGTACCGGTTTCAATTAGATGTATATGTTAAAACGTGAAATTACAAACACTAATACATTTTTGTATAAAAAAAATGCATTTTTCTAAAATCTCGCCAGGGGGGGAAGGGCTCAAAGGAGCGTGGAAGGGACTGAGCCCACCCTAGCCCTCCTGGCTCCACCATTGTTATTAGTCACGCAGAAATTATAACACAAGATCTTTCATTATTTGCGCTCGTGTCAGCGGTTTTTAGGGCAACAGTAGAGGTTTAGCTTTGACGTGCGATTATAAATGTATTTTGAATCAAAGTGCAACTTTATTTTAAACGAAAATGGAGATGTAGTTTCGATATGTTTAAACCGAGTATTTTTGGAGCTACTTTATAGTGGTTCATATCATGGTTTTTATTTGTTCTTTTTCAAGAGCCATGATTGGAGAATTAAAGTTAAATGGATGTCGAAACCATGAGTTATTCATAATTTCGAGTTAACTTTCAAGCCAATCAGCTACCTTAACACCTAGTTCAATCAGCTTTTTTTACTACTTCTGGTTCTAACCTTAGTCTTATTTATTTTGTTCTTTGTATTACTCTTTCTGTGTTGTTTGATTTGAGTCATTTATTACAGTTCAGTGACCTTTGATGACTCTCACTTTTCGTGAATAAAACAGTCTTAGTCTTAGTTAAGTTTTCTAATCTGAACAAGACCTTAGTAGCAGCTGTGGTTTCTCATGAGGAGGAAAACCAACAAATAAACAAATAAATTATCATCTTGTCTTGCCTTCTTAGTTATGGATGAGTAATTTGCGATTTTTCCAGGTGGAATAGTTACTTTATATTCACTTTCTTTTCTTATTACTTTTTTAAAATCATTTTCGATTGACACAAAATTTTATTTTATTCTATTAGAACCTAAGTGAAAAATTCTAATATACTATTCTTGCCTAAGGCTATTGGAAAATACAAAAAGTCAATTTTGTATGATTAAAGACTCGAACACATGAACTTTGTTCCTAGTCTTTGAATGGTTTGAAATTAATTATACACAATGATTGTGATTAAATTATGAGAATGTTGGATTTTGAAATATTTAGAGAATATTTATTTTAATTTGATAAGCTCAGTTGTTGTTACAGTTATAAACTGAAATCACGTATTGTTGCTCTAATCAGGGTCATGTTTTACATTTCCAATTTGGTTCGATTTCTGACATTTTGAAGTAGCGCTGATGTATGGTGATAAACAACTTTCTCTATAATTATAGTGCTCATTAAATCTGAACTTATATATTACAGATTTGTTGTCATGGTTGAATCAAGTTCAGTACTCACACCAGCGTTTTCAACAAATTTAGTTGAACAAAACCAAGAGTTAACATTTAATACACAACAGTCTGTCGAGACCAATGTACTCCCTGGTATTAATGACGACATGACTCCTCTCATATCTGCCAATACAGGCAATTCGATAACAACTGTTACAAATCTAACTGATTTAAATAATGTCAATGAACCACCGTTGAAAAAGACAAAATCTAATAATAGTCCAGAAAATAAACAACGTTTATTAGAAGATAGGTTAGGTGGTATTTTATCGTGTTGCATTTGCCTTGATTTGTCAAACCTACCTATGTATCAAGTGAGTTTTCTCGCTTTTTATCCATTAAAACTATACTGTTTTATATGTTATTTGTTCCAGTGCATAAATGGCCATTTAATGTGTGGTCATTGTTTCAGTCATTTACTAGCTGATGGAAAACTCAAAGACGAGTTAACAACTTGTATGATTGTCGTTATCATATTGGATCGAAATATAGATATTTTTAATTCATTAACTTTTAGGTCCAAATTGTCGTTGTGAAATAAATAAGTCCAATTGTAGTAGAAATTTAGCAGTAGAAAAAGCAATAAGTGAATTACCGATTGTATGTGAATATTGTCTCAACACATTTCTGAGATATGAAATAAAAGTGCATCAAAATCAGTTTTGTACAGATAGGTAGATGATCCCTATTCATTAGATTAACATCATTAGCATTCTTAACACCTATTTTATTTTGGCTTCTAGACCTACCGTATGTGATTATAATTTGATTGGATGTTCATGGCAAGGTGCCTATCATAATTTAGAATCTCATTTGGGTGTTTGTCATTATCCATCGAAAACAGGCATGCAACTATTGGATACACTAAAAGAAAAAAAACAAATAATTGATGATGAAAAAAAATGTTTAGAAACTGTTGTTGATCTATTATCATTAAATCAAATAGGTGTGTCAGATTTGATATTAAAACCATTTCGTACAGATGATTTTGTTGCTAAATTATATTTTGAAACATCACGTTTTACATGTTTATCATTTCAATGGTGTGTACGTGCAAGAATAAATGATAATACTCCTCATCCACAATTGACAATGAATCGTACATTAAGTTATCAGTTAGTATTAAAATCAAAAATAACACAAACAATTGATTTAAAATTTTTTATTCTACGTGGACCACATGGTGATTTACAAGCAATTAAACCTGTTATCTATTCATTTGAATTTAGTCCGAATCATACAGAAACAGAGTATTTAAAATTATCTATATCACCAGCGGAATGTAATAAATTATTATCATCAACATCAATTAGCTTTCGTTTATTAATGGTTCAAGTAGAACGAAATAAAGAATGAGAGAGAACGGAATTGTTGAATAAAGAAAATCTATTCATTTTTTTTAATTTGCTTTCAGTATTCTTAAATTGTTTGTGGTTTATTTAGCCATAAACAATTTTTTCCGTCTTACTATATGTGCTAGCATACGAACATCTTGCCAAAATTTTAATTAAAACATTAAAAAATTCTTTCTAACATTTGCCCAACTTTTTTCTATTTCTTGTTTTGTTTCTCGAGGTTTTTCTCGTGAGTGTATTACTGTAGACTAACGTCACATTTTTTTCAGACTTTTTTCTTTATGTTATTCAACACATTTTGATTAAGCAAAAAACACACAGCAAAGATACCGATTATTGAATGCTTAAGCAAGAGCTATTCTTAATGGACATTGAAGAACATGAGCAATAAGCGTGTAGAATGTTTTTCCATTTATGAAGCACAAAATTCTGTACGATTCGAGCAACCGCATATTAAGAATTTATCCCTCAGAGAATTCCACTCTACGTTTTTTTCTACCGCTTCACTAGGAATTCCAATTTGTAAGAAGAAAGTAATGTTTAATTTTAAGAGTGTTCTTCTAGTAGCTGTCATCAAAAACAGTTTAATTTCTCTCTGGATTCCTCATCAGCTGTTGATTAAATCCAGCGACACAAGTCAAAATGTTAAACAACTTATCTAGAAAATCTCAATACTGTGATTACTTAAAACTGGTTGATCACATTGCAAAAAGATAATTTATCAGACATGAATAATATGATTCACTCATTTGATTCCTCACTATAATTATTTAATTATAGTGAAAAATCAAAACTATATTTTTTTTACCTTTGCATGAAATGGAAATGTGTTAGAAAGATGTTACTAATCGTTTTAATTAGTCTTGAGCGATAGCGACCATTGTTATTTATCTATCCGAAGATAATTGGTATTTGTTGCTGCTATTGTACTCAAGAGTATGTTTGAATAGTTGAAAGTTTTTTCTGAAGAACAAGTGTTTATAACCTAATTTATCTTCTATTCATTCGATTTCTTGACTGTAATAGTTGTGCTATTTTAAGAAAAATCTTTTAGGAACGATAAAACCAGTGTAGTAGCTTTGATTGAAAATCAAAAAGATTACAAAGCTCATTCCTTAGTCGAATATACAAGACGTACCTATCGACAAATACAACTTGCAGATCGTCTCATTTATCAACTATTTCATCGGACAGTCGTTTCTTCCCAAATATGAAACATAGCTTACACCTACTTTCACAACGATGTAATTGTGAAATGTTTTTTTCCATAAATAAATACAAGCTAGTAAGTCCATTGTTTGTTCGCGATTCTCGAAATATCCGTTATCGACACTCTTTTCCAATAGAGGCAAACTACATGTACTTTTTTTTGTTAAAGTCCTGTCTGTAGAATGTAACAACAACCGCAGTTAGTCAAAAGTCTGATTTGAACATCGATTGTAGCGATCAAATCTAAAATTGGTGCTAAGACTGAAATTTTTTTGGAAATCTTATAGAGATTCCAGAGTTCTACGCTCACCCATCATTTCACGCAGACAACAACTTAGAGAAGTCTCGAAAATTTGCTGAAAACTTTCATATTTCAGAAACCTATCCCAGTACATTCTACATGTTTGATTACCTAAATGGATGCATTTTCAACTCTTATTTTTTTTACGATGAAACTTCTAAATAAGATGGTGCTTTTCTTCTAATTTAATGTGGAAGGTTGGAGTCTTTTCTTTGTTGTCAGAACCAGCTTCGTAAACATCGTATTTTTCCTGCTTTCCTTACTTTTTACTAAATGCGTCCTGCATTCAAGATTTTATCCTACACTTTCCACTTTTTCTTTTCTGATAAATCAGGATAAAATACGATATCATAGAACAGGGATCGGAAAATTATTTTCGAATTTTTTTTTCAATTTATTGGAGAATGGCATCAAGAAGAGAACGGATTTACTATTTATTATCCAGAAAGATCTTCTTGAGATCTTAGTATGCGACCTGACCATGCGACGGCTAAAATAATAGGTATCCACTAGCCATACAGATAGTTACTCCATACATGGTGACCTTGACACGCATGGAAGTCACACTACGTAAACTTTTTACTGAACTATCTCACATAAAAACTGGATTTTTGAAACTCTATTCATCGCCGTTATTTTCATTAAGTGGTTTGCGTGATTGATGTATAGAAGAGGTGAGTGATGGACGAGAATCCACTGGAGGTCCCGCGATTCGTCACGTGATCTATTTTTATGATAAAAGTGATGGTTCTTCTTGTAAACCAAGATGAAACAATGAATAGCTTATGTTACTAGAGATTTTCCGGACTCAGGAGGATCGATGAGGAAGTGTAAGAGGAAAATTTTATCAAGAGCTAATGATGGACGAGGCGGCGACGGAGCAGAAAGCTTACGGAGAGATCCCCGCGAAGTACATTTATCGAAAATTAGCGAGGTACGGGGCGATGACTAGGCTGGGAGTGTGCGAGGCGATTCCCGCGAGGGAGCCAAAGATAGTCTATCATCCGCCTCTGGTGTATAGAACGCTCACAGACACCACCAAATGCACTAACAGAGAGTGATACGCCATTTGTCCAATATTTCAGATTGAATGGTATTACGGAAATGTTCATTTTTATAACCACGAGAAGATTGTTCTCAATAGCGAGTTTATCCGTACGTTTACAAGTTGGTGACCTCGTTATTAATCAGTTAATTAATCCGTTCCCTTTCCAGTAATAAAACCGCTCTTGTCGATTTTTTTTCCCGTTCTCTTTTAATTACAAATTTTGTAAAAACACATATATAAAATCTTTAGAAAATTCTATGTACCAGCCACACTTTTCCACTTCATGTTTCACATTTGGAATCTGAAGAAAAAATACTAGTAATTTTGTAACTTTTATTGAATTAGGGTACGGTAGGGTAATTAGAAAACTATGTGATCTCACTAATACTACTTGTATGCTATCATTAGACTGAAGTGACGTGATACAAAAATGTTTCTAGGCACTTTTTCGCGCCCTACTTTTCGTTATAAAGCCTATCAAAACAGCTTTAGAATTCTACTATTTTTTCAACGTTTTGGATTTTTGCTATTCGAACCCTGGGAATCCATTATTTCTTTTGATTCATTTTATGTCAGTATAATCTCGTAATTACACTAATCTATATTACAAATATCTATAAGAAAAGCAATGATGTAATGTGCACTTTTGGAGTAATTGTTACTTCGCTTTACACTTCACACCCGATGTAAGTTGTGTGTATGTTGTACAAATCTACTGACTTTTTGTAAATTAAGTTACTGAACTTCTAATGGATTGAAAAAGAATAAGAATGTAAGTTTATAGGCCAGAAACTACCCAAACATTGAAAAAGTTAGGAATAGGTAATACATCCATACATCCAAAGTAGGGAATACATCCATCCGACGAATTCGATGCCTTTCATGCTGTAGAAACGTGCACTGTCATATTCCACACCATATGGCAGTGTCTACTTTCCCGAAAATAGAACGACTTGGTTTCTACATCAGACTGTTGAACACACTTTTTTTGGAGTGTTTTGCCAGGTAAGATGGAATCTATTACTTGTTCTTGTTTCCTGTGAAATCTTGTTTAAGAATAGTACGAATATGATTAGACTCTTCCCTTTTTGTTTCGCTATTTTGACTAATATCAATTGGTCTCTGCTTCTTTTGAAAACTCGATTCTAGAAGTCATCGAAACCTGTCCCGAGGGGGTAGTCTTTAGTTCTGAGACTGATGCTAGTGATGGTACCATGGTCCTACAGAGTTTTTGTGGGGTTACCAGCTAGAAAAGAACTGAGTTAGTAAAATGTTCGTACAATAGGTTGTTAACGGCCCATAACGGTTGACGACCTTAAAACGAACATCATAAAGTGTCCATCCATTGATCGTAATAAAACTGCTACTTTAGACATAAAAACGGTCAAAAGTGTTTTCGAATAGTCTAAAAATGTCTATTTAACAAACGTTGACTGGGCATTTAATTGACAATTGATTACACCATTTTCGATGTCCTAGGTTTTTATACTTAAGAAACCGAGTTAAGACCCGTATCCTACTCTTTATCCTATTCACAGTCATTAGCAACAACGTGTGATTATTCACAATCATGATCTTCGTCGTTTTGTCGTCGGTTCATATACGTTAATAAACAAGTAATGCTTCAGTTTAAGGAATAAAATGTATTCAGTTCGATGTTGATCAAAAGAATGATGTCAATAAGTCTGAGTGTATTAATCGAACCATAGATAAACTCATACAAAAACTATCCTTTAAAGAAGATTCAAACGAACATTCAGGCTATCCATGTGATAGATTTAGCGTGAGTTTTGCTCAGTATCATGACGACGCACAAAAAGAAGTCGCTACGTGTTTCTACAGCATGAAAGGCATCGAATTCGTCGGATGGATGTATTCCCCTGGATATTATTAGATTTTAAACACGACAGCCTCGATTATCAGAGAAAATCTAACGTGATTACTCAAAACAGAGATATAATTAAATACGACTTAGGATAAGTCATATTGTGCTGATAATAAACAAATAATTTTTATTTTAGATAAAAGTAGTGGAAAATGTTGTTTAAATAATATCCAGGCACATAATGTTGTTTGTCTCGTTTCAACAACATATATAACATTAAGAAATTTTGACCTATCTTCAAATTTTTATTTTTATCCGTTATTCAGATTTTCCACTGGCGGTTTTGCGCTTGATGATTTATTTCTCTTGCTTTTTTTTATAAAAATAAAAGATGACATCTAAGAATAAGAGATGACGTCAACGATAAGTTATTGACTAGCTGACGTTTGACGGAAAGAAATATTTCATTGTCGACCTTTCACAAATTAGATGTTATATATCCTGATATTAATCTCAACCTTTTTGATTTTCTTTTCCGAACACAGGGGCTTTCATGAAAAATTCTGTGAAACGTCTTAGTTAATTCAAAAACATCAGACTGTGAAAGAAAAAAACCAC